ACAGAGCAAGCCAAATGACATAGGAACCTTCTTTTTCACTTACTTTAAAAATACTATAAAGCACAGAATGTAACGAATTGGAATTTAGCCACGGGTGTCACACCTATGATAGCTCTCATTTTTACAAAGACTAAAAATTTCAGTTTAAGCAAACTGGAGAGAGATTTTGTTACCATGTTTTATGTGAAAAGGAAGAACTTTAATGAAAACTTAGGAAAAATCTTATTTTTTAGTTCTGTAAAAATGATTATCGAGGGCTGGAAAGGTGGTTCAGTGGTAGAGTATTTGTCTTGCATGCATGAAGTCCTGGGTTCGATTCCTAAGCACCACATAATCAGAAAAAGCCAGTGGTAGAGTGTTAGACTTGAGCTGAAATGTTGAAGGACAGCAGGCAGGCCCAGAGTTAAGGCCCACAAACTGACAAAAAAAACCCAACAAAACAACAACAACAACAACAAAAACTGTTGCTGGGCACTGGTGGCTCACACCTGTAATCCTAGATATTCAGGAGATTGGGACCTAAGGATCAAAGTTCAAAGCCAACCAGGAAGAAAAGTCCATGAGACTCTTATCTCCAATTAACCACCAAAAAAACAGAAGTATAACTGTGGCTCAAATGGTAGAATATTAGCCTTGAGCAGAAAAGCTGAGGGACAGTGCCCAGGCCATGAGTTCAAGCCCAGGATTGGCACCAAAAACAAAAACAAAAACAAAAAAAAAACAACCAAAACTTTAATCTGGCCCTGTTACTTTGGAGCTATGCAAATATTTTTTTCTATAAACCTTTTACCACTTCAATAATTCAAATATATGATAATGAGCAAAGTCATTATGGAGAAAATCAGAATTTATAAATTGATTCTTGTCTCCTTTTCAGAGCTTATTCTGTCTTGAAGAGCTAGATTAGTTTTAAATGACCCCTAGAATTCTTCCCCCGCTGAGAATAGGTGACTGGATGATAAAAGTGAAAAGAGCTGGGTGCTGGTGGCTCATTCCAGTAATCCTAATCAGGAGACTGTGATCCAAGGATCAAAGTTTGAGGCTAGCCCAGGCCAGGCAGAAAAGTCCATTAAGACTCTTATCTCCAATTAACCAGCAAAAGGCTGGAAGTGGAACTGTTGGTCAAGTGGCAAAACACCCATTTTGAGCAAAAATAAAACTCAGTGTCAGTTCCCAGACTCTCTAGTTGAAACCCCAGCAACTGCCTGTCATAGACACACACACTAAGTGAAGTAGTTATGGTTCAGCAGTAGTGTCTGCCAGCAAGTTCAAAACTCAAGTGCTTTGTGTGTTGTGTGTGTGATTTTCAGTTTGAACTCGGCCTTGCACTTGTGAAGCAGGGGCTCTACAACTTGAGCTATCAACTTTTTTTTTTGCGGGGGGAGGGCTTTACTTTTCAGATAGGATCTTGCTTTCATCTAGGGCTGTCTTCTGAATGAAATTCTACCTAGGGTTTCCTACGGGGTGCATCACTCCAAATCTGGTGTGTTGGTTGAAATGAAGTCTCAACTTTTAACCTGGGTGCCCTCCAACAGAGTACTTCTGCCTTCCAATAACTACAGATTATACATGTAAGCCCCCATGTCTGGCAGTATACTTATTTTTCCCCCCACAATTACCATTAACTCTATGAAGTTTTAAAATCTCTAATGAAACTTGTTAAGAGCAAGGTAAGGGACGACATTGTCCATTTCTTTTTGGTCGGTTAGGGGGCTTGAACTAAGGGCCTGGGCTCTATCCCTGAGCTTTTTTGCTCAAGGCTAGAACCCTACCACTTGAGCCACAGTACCACTTCGTTTGTGAGTAGTTTATTGGAGATGAGTCTCAGTTGCATGTAACTGTAACCTCTCTGTGTTACCACTTCGTTTGTGAGTAGTTTATTGGAGATGAGTCTCAGTTGCATGTAACTGTAACCTCTCTATGTATCTTTTTTTTGGTCAGTTGTGGGGCTTGAACTCAGTGGGCCTGGACGCTGGACAGTCCCCTGCCCCTGAGCCTCTTTGTGCTCAAGGTAAGAGCTCTACCACTTGAGCCAATGCCACTTCGATTTTGAGTAGCTAACTGGAGATGACTCACGGGGAATTTTTTGCCACAGCTGGCTTCAAACCATGATCCTCAGATCTCAGCCTTTTTTTTTTTGGGTCGTCATGGGGCCTGAACTCTGGGCCTGGGCGCTGTCCCTCAGCTCTTCAGCTCAAGGCTAACGCTCTACCACTTGAGCCACAGCGCCACTTTCGGCTTTTTTCTTTTTGCTTATGTGGTGCTGAGGAATAGAACCCAGGGCCTCAGGCATGCAAGGCAAGCGCTCTACCACTGAGCCACCTTCCCAGCCCCAAGATCTCAGCCTTTTGAGTAGTTACGATTATAGGAATGAGCCACTGGCGCCTAGCTGTACATCACCTTTATAATTCATTTTTAATCTTGTAACAAATTCTATTAACATTAACTTCGCATTCCCCACATCTGTATGTATTAAAGGGACTAGAGCAAGGCAGACTCCATCCTTAAAATGTAGTGGCTGCTCTCCAGATGTGCTCAGTTCAAGGGATAGCAATAGTCTTAATTTTCACAAGGGCATGACAACTTACCAAGTTCACCACTGATCCAAGGAATCACAAGTGTTTACACAAAGAAGCAGTATCTGTAATAGGGAAACCTCAACACTGAATGTATGACTGACTCCTGGATTTGATAACAGGGGAAAGTGTACACATTTCAAACTCTATCATCATAATCCTCTAGTTTTATTAGTACTCTTTGCAATACTGTTTAATTTTCCCCAAGATCAGAATTCAAAATTAACTCTTGCTTTTGTTCATTGGCTGGTACTTTATGATCTGAGCCATGCTGTCAACCCACTTTTAATAATTTGTGATATAATTCACTAAGCTGTTCTTTCAGTATAATTTTCAACATCTTTTCTTGTTTTGTTGTTTTTGGTTGGTTGTGGGGCTTGAACTCTGGGCTTGGGCCCTGTCCCTGCACTCTTCGGCTTAAGGCGAACACTCTACTGCTTGAGCCACAGCGCCACTTCTGGTTTTCTAGTGGCTTATTGGAGATGAGTCTCACCTGCCCAGGTTGGCTTTGAACCTTGATCCTCAGACCTCAGCCTCCTGAGTAGCTAAGGACTACAGGTGTGAGCCACCGGCACCTAGTTTGTGTTCAATTTTTGAACAAGCCCTTTTTACGATGACTACATGGTGACATTAAAAGTCTGAAAACCTGCCATCTCTTTTCAAGTGTTAAACATTTGTATACAATTAGTGGTGACTTTTAAATTGTGTATAAAAGATCTGTAAGAATATACCAATGAATAATGATTACCTAAGGACTTGAATATGGAAAATTAGTAAGAGTTTTATATAACAAGTGCAGGAATTCTACTAACCTTCCTAGGTTGAAAGCAAGTGACTAAAATAATATTAAAGGAAATACTGAATGTTGCTGTTTTGACAACAGCTCAGCATTTATCCTTTAAAACAATTTTTGGGGACTGGGAAGGTGGCTCACTAGTAGTAAAGTGCTTGCCTTGCATGCTTGATGCCCTGGGTTCGATTCCTCAGCACCATATAAGCAGAAAAAAGCCGGAAGTGGTGCTGTGGCTGAAGTGGTAGAGCGCTTGCCTTGAGCTGAACTGCTGAGGGACAGTGCCCAGGCCCCAGAGTTCAGGCCCCATGACTGACAAAAACCAAAACCAAACCAAAGTCCAAGTTTTTCATCCCTCAGCGTTTAAAAAAAAAATCATGATTATATAAACATTGCTGAATCAATGTCAAGAGGGCAGTTTTTCTTACGCCGAGATCCTCAGATCTGCACCTCCAGAGTGGCTAGGATTGGATACTGTACTTCTTGCAAATATAAACAAAATTGCTTAATCATGGTACTTCTCTTTTAGAAGCACTTTCAGCTCCCAAAATGTCTGCTACACACTTCTACCAACAATTAAATATTTCTTTTCCATATATTTTTGGGGGGGAGGGGTTATGGGAGCTTGAACTCAGGGCCTAAGCACTGTTCCCTGAACTCTTTTGCTCAAAGCTAGCACTCTACTTGGAGCTACAGATCCACTTCCAGTTTTCTGGTAGTTAATTGGAGATAAAAGTCTCAGACTTTGCTGCATGGGCTGACTTTGAATCATGATCCTCAGATCTCAGCCTCCCGAGTAGCTAGAATTACAGGCATGAGCCACTATTGGCCAACCATACTTGTTGTTTCTCACTATATAATGTCCTCTTTTAATTCCTGGTGTTTTTAATAATCTGGTTTTTAACAACCAAAAATCTATAGGACACCCTTTTTAAAACCTTGTTTTTGCTTGCCAGTCCTGGGGCAAGCTGCAAGGCCTGGACACTGTTACTGAGCATTTAGTTTTGCTCAAAGCTACCAGGTAGTTTACTAGAGGTAAGTCTCAGACTTTCTTGCTCAGGCTTGCTTTGAACCACGATCCTCAGATCTCAGCTTCCTGAGTAGCCCAGCTTGAAGTTATTAAGTAAGATACATGACACACATCCCATAGATTTTAGAGAACAGAACTTTATTATTGATGCCTTGAGAAGATTAAAGCAGGGCAGTCATATCGACTTTTGAAAAAGTTTCCTGAAACACCCTCCCCTTATATTAAAGTCATTGAAGTATTGCTTTCCTATTTATGATTTGGGCTCAATGATGTCAACTACCTATTTCTTTCCTTTAGAATGATGTTGACGCTGAATATTTATTTAAAAAGAATGAAAAAACACAGGATTAACAAAAATTAATATGAGCGGTTATTCTTTAGTAGTCCAGGCAGATCCTCCTGTCTTTGCCTCCAAAGTGCTGGGATTACAAGTATATGTTTATCCTAAAACAAGGATTTTTAAAGATCAAAGAGATAGAATTATACATTTAAGCACAGGAAAAGAAAAAATGGGGAGATATTAGGGAATTAACGCAGAATTGGCAAAACTAAATAAGCCTAGTTATATTTTCTACTGTTATCAAATGAAAGAGACAATCCCATCTTCAAAGAAATTAACTTTTATTTGAATGGAGACTACTTTTTCCTACATGTATCTTCAAAGGCCCTATACTATACGACAGCCCACTTAACCAATGTCCCAATACTAAAATTTTGAACAGCAAATTATACAATTCCTCTAGATAATAAATAAGGGTCGTCCTTCACTGATCAAGAGAATACTTAAAACTTCAATAAACTTAACACACACACACCACACACACCAAAAAAAAAAAAAAAAAAAAAAAAAAAAAAAAAAAATCACACATTAAGTTGTAAGGCTTAACAGATATATTTCAAATACAACATGTGTGGAGTCTACAAGCTTTTTGTCTAATTTTTTGGGTTCAAAATTTACATTCTTCAAAAGAAATGTCCAAGTGTTTTCCTCTATAGCTTCAAATTTTCTACACTCAAGTATTTGACTATTCCATGCCATCCCCAGACAAACCTGACGTGACAACTACTTCATGTGTTACTAACTTCCTCAGAAGAAAGTTAAAAAAGTCTGTTGAAAATACAAATTTCTATTATAACGCCTACTACAATATCTGACACAAAAGTCATTTCTTTCCCCATATGATTAGCTAGGAGTTAATCCTCCATAAAGATAAAAAAAAAAAAATCACAAAGCATGAATACTGGGTTCCTTTTTTACTCAAGATGTTTGAACTATTCAAAATGACAATTACATTTTTAAGAGTATAACAGAAGTGGTGGACAACACAACTGACAAAGTGTATGTAGATGCCAGTAAACCAAGAAATTTTTTTAAGGATTAGGAAAGATTAGAAGCTAGAGGAAACCCAGGATTAAAAAGAAAAGCAAAACAAATAACAAAAAACAGAGAAAAAGAAAAGAGAATAACATCCTTAATTGCAATCGTTCCATGATCAATAGCGTCCTAAAAGGGAAAGAAAAACAAAAGTTAGAAGGACAATTACCATTTGACTTACCTACTACTTTCCCGCCTATTTCACAGCCATCACACATCCTCCCCTCATAGCCTAAAATAAGACATTGACTTCAAAATCACAGGCTGCCTCCAGTGCTAAGATTATACGCATATGCCAATGATCCTTAAGAAACAAGATTTTAATCCTCTAAAAGCAAAATTCACTTACTTGGGCTGTAAGAACGAGATCTTGATCGGGATCTGTATCGACTATAATAAGGAGAAGGTGATCTTCTTCTGTAAGAAACAGAAGATTGTTCAGCATAAAGTATCACCCCACTGAAGCAGATGAAAAAGAATTCCTTACACTCAAACGCAGAGGTAAGTTCTATTCTGAAAACATCACATACCTTTCTTTTGGAAGGGCTAGGGACTAAACCCAGGGTTTAGTAAATGTGAGGCAATGTCCTACCACTGAATGACTCTCTCGGCCCTATTAACTTATTTTAAACATCAAGGTTTTTTGGTTGTTGTTGGTCCTGGGGGGCTTGAACTCTTGGCCTGGATGCTGTCCCTCAGCTCTTCAGCTTAAAGCAAGTGCTCTACCACTTGAGCCACAGCACCACTTCTGTTTTTCTGGTGGTTAACTGGATATGAGTCTCATGGACTTTCCTGTCTAGGCTGGCTTTGAACCACGATTATCACATCTCAGCCTCCTGAGTAGCTAGGATTACAGGTGTGAGCCACCAGTGCCTGGCTTCATTTTTCTTTTTAGAAGACGGGGTATGTTGACCACTAAGCTCAAGTGATTCCTCATTTCAGCTCCCTAGCTGAGAATACTGTTGTCCACCACCATTTAGCTAAATATAAAAGTGTCAAATAATACTGCCACCACCTAATTCAGAACAGAAATATAAAACAAAATAAAATTACCTGTACCGATAATCATAATCTTCATATCTGTCATACCCTCGATCATATCCTCTATCGTAGTAAGAATCTCGACGTCTGCCACCACCGCCGCCTCCACCACCACCTCCACCACCACCTCCACCACCACTACTACAGAAAAAAATAGTAAAGTTATATAGCAGTATAAATGATTAATTTCCAGGATTACTCAACTTAAAATAGAAAAAGATAAAAACAACCTGCAGACTTCTATGGTACTTTTTTAGTTTTCAGTCTGCGTGTGCCTGTGTGCAGGTTCTAGGGCTTGAACTCAGGGCTGAGCACTGTCCCTGAGCTTTGTTGCTGAAGCTAACATTTTACCACTTGGGCCACAGTTCCACTTAAGGTTTTTTTGGTGATTAACTGGAGATAACAGTCTTATGGACTTTTCTGCCCAGGCTGGCTTTAAACCATGATCCTCAGATCTCAGCCTCCTAAGTGGCTAGGATTACAGGTTTAAGCCATCTGTACCTAGTATGTTTTCATGTTTTATTCACTACATGATTTTACAAAATCCTCCAGATTCTGTAAGCTTCTCTCCTGTATTAATGTACTACCCAAATCACCAGGTGAACTAAAACAGTGTTAGGGAGCAGAACAAAAATGTGTAAAATTATGTTTACGAATAACTGAAAGGCAATTAAATGTTAATAATAGAAAGTATCTAACTCTAAACATTAAAGACAATTAATCTACTTTACATTGCAGTTCAGCACTAAAACACCAAGATCTGATATTTAAACTTCTGGAGTTGAATTTAAAACCTTGTGTGTGGGCTGGCCCTGGGCTTGAACTCAGGGAAGGGGTGCTGTCCTTAAACTTTTGTACTCAAGTCTAACATTCTACCACTTAAGCCACAGCTCCATTCTTGACCTTTTGTGGCTAAACTGGAGTTAAGAGTCTCAAACTTTTCTACCCAGGCTGGCTTTGAACCATGACCCTTAGATCTTAGCCTCCTAAGTAGTTAGGATTACAGCTGGCTGAATTAAAAAAAGGCTCACGCCTGTAATCCTAACTACTCAGGAGGCTGAGATCTGAGGATCACAGTTCAAAGCCAGCCCAAGCAAGAAAACCGGAAGAAACCAGTAGAAAACCGGAAGTGGCGCTGTGGCTCAAGAGGTAGACTGCTTGCCCTTGAGCTGAAGAGCGCAGGGACATCGCCCAGGCCCAGAGTTCAAGCCCCATGGACAAAAAAAAAAAAAAAAAAAAAAGGCCTTCATTGGTGTATTTAACCTAACCATAAGGATACCACTTCTACTTTAGTTTTTTGCAGGCTCTCATTTAAACTCATTTTCTCCAAAAAGGCTTCAACTATCTGAAAGTATTTATCCCTTTTTTTTTATTCACAAATACCTGTTACTGTATTTGGTTGTGTATCTGAAAACACTTCAAGCCCCTACTTATATTTTGCTCAGTGTCAACACTGACGATTCAAAAAACAAAAAATGGTCCCTGCTGCTGAGATGTGAGGATTATGGTTGGCAGCCAGCCTGGGCAGGAAAATCCATGAAACTTACCTCCAGTTAACTACCAAAAAAGCTAGAAGTGGAGTCCTGGCTCAAACAAACCAGGTAAGACAGCATGGCTCATGTGACAAGAGTTGCCTGGCAAGTGCAAGACCTCAAGTTCAAATACCAAGAAAATAAATAGAACAATCCAAAGAATGAATATATATATATATATATTATATACTATATATGTTAACAAGTAATATATAATTATATATATAATTTAATTAAATTTTAAGTCTTACAGAAAAAATCATCTTCTGATTATTTGGTTTTACACACATTCCTGGTAGATTGGTTTTTGGCTTATAGTTTGTTTAGCTTAAGGACAATGCTGGGGCTTGAACAAAGGTCTTTATACATACTAGGTAAGCACTGTACCACTAACCCCAGGCATATTAAATCTGAAATCTTACTGAGTTGGTCTGCCCATGTAGATGCCTGGTGTAGGTGTATGTGCTCTCTTGGTGATAGAATAATCCACACGAATTCTTCTTCCATCCAGCTCCATTCCATTTGCTCTTTCCATGGCCTAGAAAGGAGAAAAGATACAGAAAGCCATTTGCAACTCACTATCCTTGAATCATCTATTAAAAAAAAAAAATCAGCTAGGCATTGGTGGCTCACACCTGTAATCCTAGCCACTTGGGAGGCTGAGATCTGAGGATCAAGGTTCAAAGCCAGCAGGGACAAAAAAGTCCCTGTGAGACTCTCATCTCCAACTAACCACTCATAAGTGGAGCTGTGGCTCAAAGTGGTAGAAAACTAGTCTTCAGCAAATAAGAGCCCAGGGATGCTGCCTAGGACCTAAATTCAAGCCCCACAACTGACTATTCCCCCCACAAAAAAACAGCATTTGTAACCCAAATACATTCTCTCTCTTTTTTGGGGAGGGGAGGAGGGGAAGCTCAGTTGTGGGGCTTGAACTCTGGGCCCAGGTGCTGTCCCTGAGCAATTCAGCTCAAGGCTAGCACTCTACCACTTAAGCCACAGTGCCACTTTCGGTTTTCTGGTGGTTTATTGGTGGTAAAAGTCTGACAGACTTTCTTGCCTGGGCTGGCTTTGAACCACAACCCTCAGATCTCAGCCTCCTAAGTAGCTAGGATTACAGGTGTGAGCCACTGGTGCCCGGCTTAGCAATGCATCTTATATTAGCAATTATAGACATTTCAGACATTTCTAGACCTCAATACTACCCATACATACTTAAATTTACTCAGCACAGAGTAGTTAATACATTGTTCCTTGTTCCCTAATAAATTTCTCATTTGTGGCTCAGTTCCTACTCTCTAATCCATGAAATAAATCAGTAATGGAAGGTGCATAGGCAATGTCTTTTAAAACTAGTTTTTGAAGATGGCCAGATTGGCTGTCACCTTATGCTTGCCTAAGTCTCCATCCATTTACATACAAAAGCTTTTTTGACCAAAGCCTTAAATAGGTTCTGTTCATAACCTTTTGCTATTTTTATTCTTTACTCTGCAGTTCAATATGCTGTAAGGCATTGTAAAGTAGCCAAGAAATGATATAAACATTTATTTATGATAATACCCTTTCAGTCTCTTGCTGAAACTAAGTCAAAGATTCACAAATTTAATGTTATTGATTTAAGAGCCCCCTAGAAGAGATCTTAACTTCTATTTCATGTGTGGGAAGCAGGAGATGCTTCTTGTTCTCCCCCCCCTTATCTCTACTTTAATCCTGTTATACTAAAATAAATCCCTGCTTAAACTTAAAATACAACAAAAGACCTAAAAACCTCAAAAGCTGGACATAGTAGGGGTATGCCTACTATGCCAAGGAGCTCAAGACTAGACTGGACTAAATAGCAAAACTCACAAAAGCAAGAAACAAAATAACTGTGAACACTGCCACCTAGTGAACTTTGAAAATAAAGGAGTTTAACCTGTGTACAAGTGTTTCTATGTCTTTACACTTGAGCTCATATTCCTTATTACTTTAACCTTACAAATAACAAAATAATTTAACCACTTTAGCAAATGGAAATAGTCATAGAAGCTTTTGGTACCTAACTAACATTGCCATTTTTAAGAAACAGAATCAAATTAATATGGAAACTTGTGTGTGCGTACATACACAGGGACTCATTTATCAAGTGCTAAACTTGAATATAAGATCCTCATGGCACCGGTGGCTCACACCTGTAATCCTAGCTACTCAGGAGGCTGAGATCTGAGGATCGTGGTTCAAAGCCAACCCCGGGCAGGAAAGTCCATGAGAGTCTTATCTCCAATAAACCATTAGAAAACTCGAAGTGGCGCTGTGGCTCAAGTGGTAGGGCATTCGCCTTGAGCTGAAGAGTGCAGGGACAGCGCCCAAGCCCAGAGTTCAAGCCCCATAACCGACAAAAAACAAAAAAACAACAAAAAAAAAAGAAGATCTTCATGCCTCAGTTTCCCAAGTTACTGGATTAAATGCCTGGCATGTAAAAGGGTTATTTGTACTAAATAAATTTCATTTTAGGACACATATCCTATTTCTTGATATTATACTTTACTCAGGGCATGGTCATTGCCCCTGAGCTTTCTGCCTCAAGGTTAGCATTCTACCACTTGAGCCACACCTCTTTAAAAAAAAAAAAAAGGAAAAAAGTCCTGGGGTGGGCCTGGGTGCCAGTTTTTGTGACATATTATGCAGGATTGTAGACAATCACACAGTGAGACCAAAAAAAGAGGATACTCTTAGGAGAGAAACACAAAGGTGTAATGCCTAAGTGCCTCTTCTTATATATAAGTAATACTCCCATTTATAAAATAATACACACATTGCTCAAGGCTAGTGCCCTACCACTTACTTGAGCCAGAGCACCATTTCCGGCTTTTTTCTGCTTATGTGGTGCTGAGGAATCAAACCCAGGGCCTCATGCATGGGAGGCAAGCACTCTTCCACTGAGCCAACTTCCCAGTTAATAAAATAATATACATATTGAAACAACCATCAAGATAGCAGCTCTTTTTTTCTTTTTTAGTTTTGGATGAGTCTGTCTTCTTTACCTTATGTATGGTATATTCAAACACCTTTAGAAGATTGGGGAGAGGGGAAAATGCTGAAACAGTGGCGCTTACTGGATGAAAGTAAACTATACAGTTCATGCATAAAGATGGGTGGGTGGGACTGGGACAGAGTGAAGGAACAGAAGACACTGAATGAAAGAAAATGTACTCATTACCTGACTCATATAATTGTAATCCCTCTGTACATCACCTGTATAATAAAAAAAAGTAAACTAAAAAGCAAAGAGAGGGCCGGGAAGGAGGCTCAGTGGTAAGTGCTTGCCTTGCCTTGCATGCCTGAGGCCCTGGGTTTGATTCCTCAGCAACCACATAAGCAGAATAAGCCGGAATTGGCACTGTGGCTAAAGTGGTAGAGCACTCATCTTGGGCTAAAGAGCTCAGGGACAGCGCCCAGGCCCACAGTTCAAGCCCTACAACCAACAACAATAACAACAAAAAGACTATAGAATGTTTAGCAGCATTTCTGGTTTCTACCCACTCACTGCCAATACCTATTATTTTTTAACTATGTATTAATCTTTATTATTGCTTATGTCTCACATATTAATATATATTATTTTCCAATTACAGAAAGAATGGTAAAAGACTAGAACAAAAATAGTTCTATTATTTATTCACAGGGAACTAGTTATAATTATAAAATGTAATACAACACATGCACCTTTATCTCTTTCATTAAAATAAACAGCTATAGAACAGCACATAAGCTTATTTTCAAGGCATATTTCAATCAAGATATAACTAAACCAAAAGAGCGTAAGATTATAAGTAGAACTTTTAAGTTTATGGGATATGCCTGAAGGAGGATTCCAAGTCTAGGTTAGCCTCAGCTGCATACATAATGAGGTCATCTTCAAAATAAAACAAAAACTTACATGTATGAAAATTGAATAGCCATGCTTATTATAAGCTCATGCATATAATCCTACCTATTCAAAAGGAGATCTGAGAATTGCAGTTCAAAGCCAGTCTGAGAATAAAAGTCCATGAGACTCTCCAATTAACCACCAAAACCAAAAAACAAAACCAGAAGTGGAGCTGTGGCTCAAGTGGTAGAATGGCTAACCTTGACCACAAAAGCTTAAAGACACCAGGCACCAGTGGCTCACGCCTGTAATTCTAGCTACTCAGGAGGCTGAGATCTGAGGATCAGGGTTCAAAGCCAGCCCAGGCAGTAAAGTCCGTGGGACTCTTATCTCCAATAAACCACTAGAAAACTGAAGTGGCGCTGAGGCTCAAGAAGTAGAGCTCACCTTGAGCTGAAGAGCTGAGGGACAACGCCCAAGCCCAGAGTAAGCCCCATCAACCAAAAAAAAAAAGCTTAAGGACAGTGTCCAGGCCTTGAATTCAAGCCCCAAAACTAACACACACATTTATATGTACCAAACGGATCAACAGGGTTGTGAGGAAGGTGGGAGAATGATGTAAAGGGTGACATTAAGTCGTGCTGTATTCATAAAATAAACAAATTGAAACCACTTCCATAACTAGTTAAAAAGATAAATTAAAAAATTGAAATAAAAACAAAAGTGAAACTGGCTACTTTAACTTATTTTTAACATTGATAGGCTAAGTTTAAAACAGTTTAAAGTTCTGTTAGTTTATAAAAGTAGGAATAAGCCAGGCACTGGTGGCTCACACCTGTAATCATAGCTACTCAGGAGGCTGAGATCTGAACATCTTGGTTAAAAGCCAGGTAAGGCAGGAAAGTCCATGAAACTCTTATGTCTAATTAACCACCAGAAAACTCAAGTGGTGCTGTGGCTCAAGAGGTAGAGCTCTAGCCTTGAGCTGAAGAGCTCAGGGACAGTGCCCGGTGCCCAACAACCGAAAAATTAAAAAAATGTAGTAATAAAATACTAGAAGTATTATTTAATAGAAATATTAGCAATAAGTAGTAACAATCCTACTATTGAACAAAATTGTAACAAACCTCCTTGGAGTCATCTATTCTCTCAAAATACACAAAAGCAAATCCACGTGATCTCCCAGTACGCTGATCATAAACCACGTTGACACCACTCAATGGTCCATATCGAGAAAATACTTCACGAAGATCTCTCTCTGTTGTGTACAAACTGAGGCCAAACACTCCCAGACAAGTGTTGGGATCTGGATTCGCCTATCAAATAAAAATAGTATTAAGTTTTAGTTAGAACTCCAAACTAAAATAAAAATAAAACCACCTATATACAGTTTAAATAGGTTGTTTCCTACTAAAGTAAACCTTATTTCATAGTTCACATAATAGCCACTTTCTTTGAAACATTTTCTAGCCATAGCCTGAGCAAAAATATTCCTAGCTTCTAGCCCAACAAGTTTCAGAAAGTATCCTAAGAATTCACTTTATGTCTAATATATGACTTTATTTAGAGTCAATGACTTAAGACATCTATATTTTCTTTTTCTTTTTTTTTGGTCGGTTGTGGGTCTTGAACTCTGGGCATGAGTGCTGTCCCTGAGCTCTTCAGCTCAAGGCAAGCAAGAGTTCTACCACTTTAGCCACAGCACCACTTCCAGTTTTCCAAAAAAAAAAAAAAAAACCAAAAACCCTCCTAGTCACACACCCAAAACCGGTTTGTTTGTCAGACATGGGGCTTGAACTCAGAGCCTGAGGGCTATCCCTGAGCTCTTTTGCTCAAGGTTAGTTCTCTAGCACTTTGAGCTACAGCTCCACTTCCGGTTTTCTGGTGGTTAGCTGAAGAAGTCTCCTGGTGGTTAGCTGGAGAAGTCTCATGGACTTCTCTGCCCAGGCTGGCTTTGAACCTCAATCCTCAAATCTTAGCCTCCTGAGTAGCTAAGATTATAGGTATAAACTGGCACCCAGCTCCTAACTTTTTTTCTTTGTTGGTCGTGGGGGCGGAACTCTTGGCTTGGGAGCTGTCCCTAGCTCTTCAGCTCAAGGTTAGTGCTCTACCACTTGAGACACAGAGCCATTTCCAGCTTTTTCTGCTTATGTGGTTCTGAGGAATTGAACCCAGGGCCTCATGCATGTGAGGTAAGCACTCCACCACTGAGCCAACTTTCCAGTCCCTAACTTACTTATAATACAACATTATCACAAAAATGCCATTTTTTTCTGTGTGCCAGTCCCAAGTCTTGAAGTCTATTTGCTGGCCTTGAGCCTTTTTTTCTGGTAGTGGGCTAGAATTTTCTGGTCTGGGCACTGTCTCTGGGCTCCTTTTGCTCAAGGCTAGCACTTTACCACTTGAACCACAGCACCACTTTGGGCTTTTCCATGATTAATTAAGAGTCTCAGGGACTTTCTTGCCCAGTCTGGCTTTGAGCCATGATACTCAGATCTCAGCCTTCCAGGTAGCTAGGATTATAGGCATGAGCTTTTTTGTTCAATACTAGTGCTTTACCAGTTGAGCCATGGTTCCACTTCTGGGTTTTCTTTTGGTGGTTAACTGGAAATAAGACTCTCCAACATTCCTGCCTGGGCTGGCTTTGAACTGTGGTCCTCAGATCTGAGCCTCCTGAGTAGCTAGGATTTAGCCACGGGTGCCAAGCTTCATTTCTTTTTAAAACATTCAAAAGTAAAGAAAATGTAATCCCTTTGCACCAGCTGTCATGAAATATACAAGCTTGCTAAGACAATGACATTTCCTTTATGGTATATCTAATATCTATCTGGAAATGTAAAGCAGCTAATTAAGGCTGTTTCTTGAGTACTGCCTTCAACAACAATGATATAGCCAGATACTGGTGGCTCACACCTTCAATCCCAGCTACTCAGAGGCTGAGATCTGAAGATCATTGTTCAAAGCCAGCACAAGCTACTATAAAATCCATGAGACTTTAGATTGGCAGAGCACCAGCTGTGAGCAAGAAAGCTGAGCTAGAGGCTCTGTTGTTCAAGCCTCAGAAACTGCAATCAAACAAAAACAAAATTCAAAAAGCAATGGCCTAGTTTTTATTTTAAGTAAACAAAAAAAGCAAGAAATTAAGGCAGAACTATACAAGAAAAACAAAGCTTGCATTAATCTTTATACCACATACCCTGCTGCCTGTATGTCTTCTCCGATTAGACATTGGAGAGTGACTTCGGCTCCTTCGTCGCCGGTATTCTGGTGTATAGGATCTACTTCGAGATCTTCTCCTGTGAGAGTGAGACCGGGATCGAGTGTATCGTCTATGAGAATGCCTCCTTGACCTTGACCTTTGATGGAAATAAATTTAGGTAAAAATCTTGGAATAAGCTATCATTTTTCTCTTCCAAGGCTATATATATAAATCCCCAATTATTCAACTTTCTTGTCTTTTTTGTCTTGTTGTTGTAATGGAGATCAACAATGCTCCCCAATTTACATACTCAGTCCTTCCCCTTTGGCCTTTTTGGAAAAAAAATTTTTCCCTGTCTTCAATCACTGTAACCTGTCCCTCTTTCTCAGTCTATCCCTCCCATTCACCTTACCTCATAAACATGTTAAACCTTTCTCTTCTTGAAAATAAAAACAGAAACACTGCCATTACCTCCACAGTGAAATTCTAATTCTTATATGATCTTTAGTTCTGTATACTCTTTAATAGTTAAGTATCTTTTCCTTTTCAATTTTTCTTTAACATGCTGAAAATCTAGTATTTGCTTAATTAATAGATAAAATCTAACTGCCTGTTTTAGTATATTTCTAATTAAAATTTTTGATGCTTTCACCATCTACCCACCCATCAATTTGTTCACTGCTGCTTCTCCTATTTCCTGTCTCACACAAAATGGGCACGTATAACATAGCAGATAACCCCAAGAAGTTTAAAGCTAGGTAGCCAGCTTTAGTGAAACCTGCCCCTACCCAGTCCTGGAAAATTAATGAAAAAAAAATCTCATCATTCATATGACCTATCTTTAAGCTCATTTAAACTAGTAATGTTAGTCATACAAAACAACTTACATAAGACATCCAGCAACTGGTACAAATTAGAAAGCTTAAAAAGACATAAAAGGGGAGGCTAAGGCTAATCAAAATTTTTTTTTTCCGGTTGTGGGGCTTGAACTCTGGGCCTGAATGTTGTCCCTCAGCTCTCAGCTCAAGGCAAATGATCTACCACTTCAGCCATAGCGTCACTTCCAGGGGAGGGAAAACTAATGGAGCATTTTAACAAAGAAGGCTAGCAGCAAAGCTGGGGGACACTAATAGTTAGAATTTGATAGATTCAAGGGCTGGTTATGGTGGCTATGCCTGTGATCCCAGCTACTCCCAGAGACAACAAATTGGGAGGATTACACTTGGAGGTTAGCCTGAGCTCAAGTCTCTAACAGGGAAAGAAAACAAAAAAGCAAAAGCCCCAAACAAAAGACTTTTCAAAATCACTGTGATATCACCTAGCACATCCACTTGAACCTTCTCTGTACTGAATTACCGAGAAGTCTCCAATGGAAAACTACCTTTTTGTTGTAAACATATTGTTGGCATAAAACCAAACACTAATTTTCAATTAAATGTCAAGTACAAGCTGGGCACCGGTGGCTCATGCCTGTAATCCTAGCTACTCAGGAGGGTGAGATCTGAGGATCACGGTTCAAAGCCAGTCTGGGCAGGAAAGTCCATGAAACTCTCATCTCCAATAAACCACTACAAAACAAGAAGTGGCACTGTGGCTCAAGCGGTAGAGCTCTACTGCACTCGCCTTGAGCTGAAGAGCTGAGGGACAGTGCTCAAACCCAGAGATCAAGTCCTACAACCAACCAAGAAAAAAAAAGTCCGGGGGAGATGGGAGGGCAGGGATGGTAAGGGGAAACAAAGGAGGCAACAATGCTTGATAAGAAATGTACTCATAGCCGGGCGCTGGTGGCTCACGCCTATAATCCTAGCTACTCAGGAGGCTGAGATCTGAGGATCGCAGTTCAAAGCCAGCCCCGGCAGAAGAGACCGTGAAACTCCTATCTCCAATAAACCACCAGAAAATCGGAAGTGGCGCTGAAGCTCAAGTGGTAGAGCGCTCGCTTTGAGCTGAAGAGCTGAGGGACAGCGCCCAGGCCCAGAGTTCAAGCCCCACGACCGACAAAAAAAAAAAAAAAAAAAAAATGTACTCATTACCTTGCTCATGCAATTGTAACCCCTCTGTATGGTATTTTCACAAAAAAACTTATTAATTAAAAAAAAAAGTCAAGTACATTAAAAAATCAATCAAACCAATTAGTCTGTAACTAATCGTAACCAACAGCCTATGCCAGGAACCAATTCCTTTTTTTAGTCAGGCGTGGGGCTTGAACTCAGGGCCTGCGCACTGCCTCCTGAGCATTTTCCCTCAAAGCTAGTACCTCTACCACTTTGAACCCCAACACCACTTGTTTTTCTGGTGGTTAACTTGAGATAAGAGTCTCATGGACTTTCTTGCTCAGGCTAGCTCTGAACCATGATCCTCAGATCTTAGCTTCCTGAGTAGCTTAAGATTACCGGCATAAGTCACTGGCACCAGGTTCAAGAACTGATTCTTAAGTATTCTAAATTTCTAAATTCTGCAGCCTGAGAAAAATTACTTCATGATTTTGAGCCTATGGTTTAGTTTCTATTAAAAAATATATATATGGAGGGCTGGGAAGGTGGCTCAGTGGTAGAGCCACTCAGCACCACATAAGCAAAAAGAAAAAAGCCGGAAGTAGTGCTGTGGCTCAAGTGGTAGAACGCAAGCCTTGAGCTGAAGAGCTGAGAGACAGCGCCCTGGTCTAGAGTCCAGGCCCCACGACCGGACCCCTCCCACCCCCCCAAAAAAAGGAGCCAAAGGAGGGATGTGGTTGAACTTTGCTCTGAAAACCTCTTTGTTTTAAAGCATTTTTAGTACTCAAACTTACCTGGATTTTGATCTTGATCGAGAATGGGATTCAGAGTGTTTGGAAACCCTTGATGGACTACGAGATCCTGACCTGCTCTCCGACTTTACACGAGCAGGAGTACCGGTTGGAGATTTTGACTGAGAGCGAGACTCCTAACAAAGAAGACAGTATTACAAATGGCACTGGTCATGTAGATGCCTAACACCTAACATTTAAAGTACCGTAATTATTTATATTGATTGCTCCTGAAAAACAAATGGTTAGGCAACACCCTCCAGAAAAAAATTTCAGCTCATTAATAACCCATTGTTAATACTGCTAACTGTCCTCAGTAATTCCCTACTTGAACCAGATCACCAATTTTCTATTAACTAAGTAATCATGCAAATTCATCTACAACTTGATCATACAGACACTGGAACATAAACCATACATTTACTTAACCTAGGACCCATTCATTCTTCCAGATCTTTTAATTCTACTTCACTCTTGCTTTCTACTTCTCTTCATTCTTCATTGAGTTTTTCATTTTTCATACTTCGTGTATTCTTCCCCAATTCAAACAATTCAAAATAGCCTTAAAATATTCAAGTGCTTCTATCTGACCAATCTTCTGTTCAATTTTTTCCCCCATTCAATTTTAATTTTCTGATCTTTAATACTTTTCATTAGCCTTCTTTTATCTTGATTTATCTTCCACATTCTTGGAAAAAACTCTTCAATTTCTTCACGAACATTAACCTTAATGGAAAAAGAACATTTAGTATATTTAAGCACGTGGGGATTATAAAACTCTGCTGGAGTTTAGAATGTTATCTACCAAATGGAAAGGCCAGCAGGTAAAGTGCAAATAACTAATTTATTTTTTTTTTTAAAAAACAATTTTATAGTCTTTAAAATTGATCACTGTGTAGTTTCTAACAGAGAATTCACTGAATTTCTCTAAATGGGGTTTTTGACCATACTTTTTACCCTTCTCCCCTTTCATGCTCCATTCTAGTTTCTAAAATGTAAGCAATTTTAATATAAATATTGAATTCAAATATAAATCTAACATTAACTGTACTTCCCCACCCCCATCTAAATACTATTTTCCCACTGTTTTGTAACCTGAAGATTCTTACTGATCTCAGAATAAGCTTTCAATAAGTCATGATAAGCATAGCATCTCAGGCCAAAATATTTGTATACAACTATCTAAACTCATACATCAGTACACACACCAAGAATCAAAAAAGTAAAAAAAATTAACAAAATTACTAACACACCTCCCTTCCGATTTTGTTTGACTACTATTATCTTTGCTTATTCTGACTTAAGCACAAAGGTATGTTATGTTCTGAAGGCAAACATACTATAATAGCTAAGGGGAAAGTGGAAGCACAAAATTTCTCAACATATCCCTCTTTAGCTTATCAATTCCTAAAACATGGCCTCTATCTTGATCCTCTTTCATGCATGTATTAACAAATAATTTATGTACTAGTGCATTTTACTTTTCACTGCGTACTTCATCTGTGTACACTTCAGTGAACAAGTGTACCTTTCCATGACAAAGCTTACTAGTTTCTAAAAATTTCAGATGCACACCAAAACTTAAAAAAGTAAATTATAAGCTTGTTTACTTAAGATAGATATAAGGCCCTCATGACCAAATTGAACCAAGTTTGGTTTCTCTATTTAAGACTTGATTATTAAACTAATCACCCCAAGTTCATAAATGGTTTCATACCAATTTTCATTTACGCTCTAAGACTATCACACAGCCTTCTTATAACAGCATTGTTTAAATGTTCCCTTCAAATTTAATGTCAAAAGAATTATCAAGAACTGTATAATGCTAACATGTCTATCCTTTTACAGATTTAAAAACAAAATGGAAAAAGCTACCTTTCTCTTCAATATCAACCTTCCCATCTAGGGAAGTCTTTCATCTTAAGATACTCTAAATTCCTGGACAGATACTGGGAGCAGCAATACTTAAAAAAAAAGGCAAATTAGCTTGTAATTTAAGTATCAAGCAACTAAAATACCTTCCAGATATGGATTTCCCTTCTATAAAATAGGCTCTCTGGCCTAATATTAATTTATGCTGCTTGTTCAACAGCAGTGGCTGGAACAGTATGTATGAACATCACCAGACTTTGTTTTACAGACACTATAAAGTTTTAACCTTACTACAACAGAAATAAAAACCTTAATGGCTAAGATTTATTTCTAAATGTTTATACAAAGCTTTCTAATGTATGACAAAAGTTTAACAGTCCAAACACATTTATTTCTAAATGTGTTATTTCTTGTTTTCAAATCTGCTATCATGACATTTTGCTGAAAATAACCACTTCTGATTAATTAGGTATCTTAAAATTTAAACTTTAATACCAGTCTGGAGTAGCAACAAAACATTAAGCTACAACAGGGCTGCCTTTTTTGTTTTTTTTGGCCCACTGTTGGGCTTGAACTCTGGGTCTGAGTGCTTTCTCTGAGCTCTTCAACTCAAGGTGAGCGCTCTACCACTGGAGCCACAGCACCACTTCTGGTTTTGTGGTGGTTTATTGGAGATAAGAGTTTCACGGACTTTGCTGACAGGGCTGTTTTTAAAAGGAGCTTTGCATACTATACTCCCTGCCCAAGTACTGGGGATTTAGGTATGGGCTCTTTATACCACAGACTTACATTCCCAGTCTAGAAGCTGTGTTTTTTTTTTTTTGGGGGGGGGGGGGGGGGGAGGTGGTGGTGGTGATGGTATCTGTTGTGGGGCTTGAACTCAGGGCCTGGCTCTATCCCTGAGCTCTTGTGCTCAAGGCTAGTATTCTTATCACTTTGAGCCACAGACCCACTTCCAGTTTACTATGATTAACTGGAGTTATGAGTATCATGGACTTTCCTGCCCAGGATGGTTTTGAACTACCATCCTCAGATCTCAGCCTCCTGAGTAGGTAGGATGACAGGCGTTGAGTCCCCAGTGCCCATGAAACTTTTTATTCAAGGGTATCACCTAACTTCGTTTATTACTCTTCTTATCCAGGATATCTAAATTTGCTGAAATTTTCTTTAGGGAATCATCAGATATTAAGGATTCTCTTATCCCAAAATCTTATTATCTTGTAACTGCCAACAAGCTTTATCTAAAGAACAAACTACAAATAGGAAATAAACAGTCTTCAGAAATACTTAACAATATCAAAATATGATTATTATCAGAACTGTGGTTGTCTTTACACAATGGTCATATTACCATTAATCATTTATACTAGCTTATTTCTTCTCAAAGACTGTGATCAAATAAATGCCATTTTCACTAACTGCAGTAGAAATCAGGCACAATAAATCCCTTATGGAGTTAAGTCCCAGGTAATCTTTTTTTTTTCTTTGACCTGTCTCTACAAAGAAGTAAACTCAACATTAGTATCTATTTTTGGTGCGGGTCCTGGGCCTTGAACTCTGTCTCTGAGTTTTCATGCTCAAGGCTATCGCTCTGCCAGTTGAGCCACAGCTTAATACCTCTGGTTTTCTTCTCTTTAATAGAAATGAGTCAGTCTGAGTAGCTAGGATTACAGGCACAAGCTACCAGTGCCCAGCTGTTTATTTTCTTTTGTAGATGGGCTCTCCCTTAAGTTGCCTAGTTGCTTTCAACCTTCTGGGCTCAAGTGATCCTCCTTTCTCAGGCTCCTAAACAGCTGGGAGTATAGGCAGGTGTTACTACAGCTGGCTAGTAACTTTTGTGTGTGCGTTTGTGAGAGAGGAGGGCACAGCTGGCTAATAACTGTGTGTGTGTGTGTTTGTGAGAGAGGAGGGCTGGCAATACTGACTGGGGTTTGCACTCAGGGCCAACAGTCTACTTGGCTGGCTTGACGCTCTATAACTTGAGCCAGGCCTCTAGCCCAGCTTTTTACTGGTTATTTTGTGTTTGTATTTTATTTTTACTGGTTATAGTGTTTCTTGAGTGTCTGCCTGAGTTAACTTTTAATTGCAATACTGCAAATCCAACCCAAGTAGGTGGGATTGCAAGCGTGCACAAACTCCAGCCCTCAGAAGGCTGTAACCTCTGAGCCACACCTCCAGTCAATTTATCTGTATGTGTGTGCATGTGCACGCACCCACCCACACCACACACCTGTTGATAACTAGGGTTGGAACTCAGGGCTGTCTCTTAGTGTTGTTGCTCAAGACTAATGTCCTACCATTTGAGCTATGGCTCCACTTCCAGCTTTCTGGTAAAGAGTCTCAACAGACTTTCTTGCCTAAGCTGGCTTTGAACTGATTCTCAGATCTTACCCTCCTGAGTAGTTACTATTACAAGCTTGAGCCACTGTTGATGAGCTCCACTCAACTTTTTAAAACTAAGCTAACTTAGCTGAAATGGGCAGATTAATGACTCTCCTTCAACTTATACCACAGACTGTATTTGGTGATTATTTGGGATTGAACCCATGGTCTCTTTTATATCTTAAGTTTTAACAGAAATTGTAAGTAGGTTCCCAATCTACCCACATAGTACAACTTTCAAACTGTGATCCTCAGATCTCAGCCTCCTGATAGGTCCAAGCCACCGATGCCTGGCTGTTTTTTGTTTTTGAGATGGGCAGAAGTTCTCAAAGCACAACTTGCTCAAACAGACTTTTGTTTTGCAATTTACTATAGGCACAAGTTGTTGCAGAACACAATTTGATTCTTACCACAAGTGGTGACTACAGCCTTAAATACATTATAAAAAAATCTAAAACATGGTCTTGTAATACTACAAATAAACACAAAACACTATAGCCCTTTTAATATTAAAGCCACATAAATGTATGCCAAATGTACTATCCAACTGCTTCCTACTACATAAAACTGGAGATTCCTTGAAAGAGGATGTGAGGTTGACTAGAATACATCACTAACATGTGTGAAAATGTCACAATGAAATCTCCCTTGTACAACTAATGTATGTCAATTAAAAAAACAAAACAACGGGCTGGGATTGTGGCTTAGTAGTACAGTGTTTGCCTAGGATGCATGAAGCCCTGGGTTCAATTCCCCAGTACTACATAAACAGAAAAAGCCAGAAGTGGTGCTGTGGCTCAAGTGGTAGTGTGCTAACCTTGAGCAAAAGAAATTCAGGGACAGTGCCTAGGCCAAGTTCAAGCTCCAGGACTGGCAAACAAAC